AAACAGTCGCATCTTTCACATGTATCTCATTTTGGAGTTAAAATTCCTCGCGAACTGGTCGCTTTGAACTCGACAAAGTAAGGTTAATCCTGTGAAAATTCTTTTCTCCAAAACCAGTGATCGCCAAAAGGAGGTCCGTGAAAAATTTTTGATATGGTCTGCAGAAAAACTGGGACATTATTTATAATTTCATAAAGATTGACGAGTAAACAAAACGTATTATGAAATATGCGGATACTGTTTTTAACAAAAATTTAGCTAGTACTTAGCGAAATTCCTTCTGAGTGAACGACATTTTAAAAGTGAGAGTTGGCAAGAATAGTAAATTGGCAGTATAACACTTTAGTTCGTTCATATTGCTTTGCGTAGCCAGTTTTTGTTTTTCGAGAAGTTTTTCTTCAGTAAAATGGAAATGTAAATAAAAACATAAATAAGTGAAAATGTAGCTATAGTGGTAAATTATTAGAGGTCCGCCAAATATAAAATTGTACATTTAGTGGTCTATAAAGTTCCAAAGGTTGGCATCCGCTGTCCAAGACGGACTTGAATGCAATAATGCACCTGAAAAAGCAATAGTAATGAAGATTCTTCTGTAATTACAACTTTTTCTCTCCATTGTTTAAAAATATTTCTTAAAAGATTTGAAAACCACAAATGAATCATCAGTATAAACATAAGAATATTTTCAGAAATCACAGAAAAAATATACAATTCTAAAGAAACCGTTATTATATTGTTTTGTTCTTTTGGATGCATTCATATCACGAAAGTAGAAATTAGATAGGATTAACTTTACACTCACAAATTCAAAATGGCCGCGGTACGTCCCGTATGACAACATAAAATCTACTGAAAATTAAAATTTTATTACAATATGTCAACAATGTAGCAAAAAAAGGCAATTCCACTAAAATTACAACTAAGATAATCTGATAGTTACAACTAAACCAGAAAAAGAAAAAAAGAAAAAGAAAATATTCCATGTATGTTTTCCCGACTACATTCCCATTTAGTCGTTATCAGACTTTTTTATCTCTAAGTTATCCGCGTTTTTTTTTTAATTTTTTTATCAGCTTCAACAAACTCTTGACCGACATACTCGAGCACGAGGATTTCCAGTCAGAATCCAAACACATTGAGCCACGCGATATCCGGGATAATAGAAAGATGACTCCAGTAATATTTCCGTTCGGGGACATTTTAAATAGACTCAGAGAACATGTGCCCCATCATTACGCAATACATTTTTTCCTACAGAGACCGATCATCAGTTAAATCTGCTGCTCCTAGACTGAAAAAACAATTCTAGTTAATTTCTTCTAAAATACAGTATTACTTCACCCATCCCAACTTATATTTCTCAAAAAAAGTAATATGAAAAAAACTTTAAGTCAATTCCTACTTAGGTCAACAAAGAAAAATTTTATTTTAGTTACTTTTTATTAAATAGTTACAATTAATATATGACAGAATCACAATTTTAAGTAACAAAATAGCAAGAGATTTTCCTTGCAATTTTCCATTTTCCTTTCTATATGTGGTGTTGGATTACTTCTTGTTTGTTTGTTACTGTTTATTCATTAATTAAATTTAATTATTCTAATAAAATAATATAGTAAAAAAGAAATCACATTCCCAGAAACTAGATCATCCCAGGTGGGATTCGAACCCACGACCTTTGGATGAGATGTCCAACGCGTTACCAATTACGCTACAGGGGTACAACGAAAGAATTTCCTTTCTATATATGCTGTTGGATTATTACTATTTATTCATTTTTTAATTTAATTAATGAATTAATATTTGAAAAAAACTGCATTAACATCACTACAAGTTTTAAAAAACGTATTTGAACTTGAATGGGTGAATAGAAAGTATTTTATTAACGATTGAAAATTTAAACAAGATATATATATATATATGGAAAAAGTGAACTAATAGTAGAAATTAAAAAATTGAAACCTACAATTATTTAGGTATAAAAAATGTGACACACACTAAATATTAGCTATTTTCATTACACGAGTTTGTTTTGCCCAGTTTCGATACAATAATGTGTATATACACAGGCTTACCAAGTTTTTTGGAGGGGGGGGGGGGCCAAACACAGACCATATTTTCAAAATTACAAAATTCTTAACCGTTTACAGAAACATTAAACTATATTCAGTTGCATTTTCACTAGACATGGTTATTTAAAAATAGTTATGTTTTTGTTTGAATTAAATAAAAAAAAATCACAAGAAAGTTCTGAATTAAATTTAACATAACACAATTAACATATTGCCCTTGTATTGCCAAATGACTAAGTAAAAAGTTTTGGCGATACCAGTAGCCACGTCTCCGTCAAAATTGATGCCAGGTCTTAAGGCAGGAGTGGTCAACCCGCGGCCCGCGAGATTCAATACAACTATACAAAATGCGAATATTTCGTGCAATATTTTTATTTTTAGTACAGTGTTTTGTAAAAAATAAATCCCATAACTGTTTCTATTTTATCACGTTACCTGTGTTTTAATCCGATAAATGTTTGCAATGGGTTCAAATCTAATATAAAGATATATTTTACATACGGGGCTCGCGGGATTATAATGTTTTTCCGAAGTGGCCAGCAAGGTCATTTTGGCTGGCCACCCTTGGCTTAAGAGAATGTTTAAAAACAAGATGTCGGACATATGCATATCTAAAATATAAACGCATGTCTAAAAGTAATTATTGTGGATTATAAAATTTTACTTTCCGAACATTTTGGAAACCCAGGGCATTATCTCGGGCAGCATTAAAAAAACCAAGATTGCCTGGGGTAATCCCGGGCGATTGATAAGTCAATATGTATTTCACCCAATGAAAGCCGAGATCACCGAGAAAGGGTTTAAAGCTACAATGCGGTGTATTAGTGAAGAATATTAATTATTAGGCTTCGCCTAGTTCGGTTCAAGTAGCCATTTTGTCATCGGTCAAGGATCTGGTGCTTTGATACCTGTTATAATTTTATACCACTGAATTAAACATCTATATTTTAGAAAAAAAACTATTACAATATTGTGTGTCAATGAAACAGCTCGTAATTCCCCGGTAGAAAACAAATCTAAACACAAACGATACCAAATTCATTTCCCACATAATTTTTTTAATGCATATGAAAAATCATTTTAATACATTAAACTCGTTTTTCCCCTTAAAATAAAATATTTTGAGGGAATTTGAGCTCATTAAGACGCGTTTTTTCTAATTATATAGAACCAATTCTAATATTTAATGAAATAAAGCGTAAATGCAGATTTAAAAGTGCTAAGATACTTTTCCTGATAGTTTTTATGAATGCAATACACATTGCTGGTCAGTAAAATGGCAATACTAGGAAGGAAAGTGAGAGTTATATTAACGTCGCACTATTCAGTTACTCGAGGGCCTTTGGTGACGGACCTCGTCATTTTTAACCATGGTCAAATGACAAAGACGACACCCCTGAGTAGTGCCCCCTTTCCTAACTTCCACATCACATCAACGGTAGGACGTTAGAGCCACGACAGATTTAACGTGCATCAGCCCTTCTACATGGCGGGGTCTTCAGCGGCACTGGACTCGAACTCACCGACAGACTAGCCACGACTCCGTGACCTTGACCACCCGACAACTGCGGACACCATTAGGAAAGGAAATCAAATAATAGTTTCACTTATTGTAACGTATACAGCAGGGGAAACAGTAAATTTGTAGGCAATTTGGAGAAATATATGATCCAAAATTAATACACGCAGCAACCTCAGGCAGCTAGAATCGCTCTATAGTCCGGTTAGCTATCGAGTTAAACTGGGTTTAGATCAAATCATTCCATGTAGTTTCCAGTATATTCTACATTGAATCAATCATAGTGGTCTGAGCTCCGTCTCTCAGTAACTAATGAACATATATTTTCAATGGGTGAGAGTACCGGCCAGGGGAACAGTCAAACACCCTTTGTTGTCAAGATAGATCAGAACACAATGGACAACATACAATTTTGCGTTATCCAGTTAAAAAATGACGTCTGCGAGTTCTCGAAGATAAGGTGTATGTTGCCCACACTGTCATACCAGGAGCAGGGCCCGTATAAGGCTATATCAAATACAAGATGGTCACATGCGTTCACCTTGGTGTCTCCAGGCATGAATGTATCCATCATGGCGCATTGATTGATTGATTATTAACGTCGCACTGTTTAGCTACACGAGGGCTTTTGGCGACGGACCCCGTAATTTTGAACCATGGTCAAGTGACGTGGAAGACACCTGAGCTGG